TTCTAGTTCAAAGGCCTTAAGACCACAGAAAAATCCCTAGGATAAAGATACCCATTCAGGCAGTTTTAATAACTAGAATTATCCAAAAGGACAATCCTTCCACTAAATTAGTATCTTATAGCACTTTCTTCAAAAGCAATGAACTGCTAGTTTACTTAATTTGTACATGTTTGGAACTAGCTAAGGTAAGTAATTTGTGTTTGTCAAATATATTGAGCTGTTGAATAAAAGACTTAGAGATGAGGGCTGAAAGTTCAGTTTTAATAAATGCCTCTGGATAAAGCCCTGTAGAAAATATATTGACAAATCACTGAATTTGTTTATGTTATTTTACAATAAGATGGACAATATGTGAACAGATTATTCAGTTTTCTACATACTCAATGTTTTTGGAATAAGGTTTCTTTTTTCCCTATGTCTTACCAACTAATTAATCTATAGCACATATGGTTTCATATTTTGTTTTACTCCTTTGTGCTGAAGCTCACAAATGTTTGCCAGGACTGGGGTCATACAGGTAAAACCTTGAGGTTAAGCCTTGACTCAGCATGAGACACACAGGCTCAGTCCAGTGAGGATCCATCCAGAATCATGTCATAAAAACAGCAGAAACAATGTTTCTATTATTGAGCAGTTGGAGAAAGATTTGAAGTAGAGAAATAAGTTTTGGGCTATTTTAAAAATCTGACCTGCAAAATTCACAAAGGCCACTAGATGGGAGCATAGAGATTTGTTGCTCTCTAAGAGGCTGTCTGTATTTTTTCAGTTTAGATCTGTTAGCCCTAGTTTATTTAACATTTAGGAATCAGCTGAACAATGAACTTAATTGTTTAAGGTCTCTTCACTTCATAAAATTACAACTAGGATTGCTCCTGAAATTAATTCAAGCTCCAAGTTTAAACAAGATCTTAAACCAATATATTAATTACATTAAATTAAATTAAATTAATGCACATTTTCATATGCCATAATGGCCTTATCCAGACAATGCAATGCCATCAAGTCATATATTACTTTTGTCTTGTGTACCAACAGACCCAGTGTGGCTTATTACTAAATGTGAAACAGATGATTAAGGATCATTAAACACATCATGACTTAAAGAATATTGCATTATGTGTGAATATGGCAGTGACTTCTGCCATTTTTCCAGTGTGCCCATAATATACTAAATATCAATAGTGGAGACCAACAACCCATATTCTTGCTGCTTGAATTAACCTAAACTAGGTTAGTAAACTATTCCTATTCAGACTTCTGGCTGGAAGTTCTTGGTTTGCTTTTCAAGAGCCTCCATGAAAATTCTGAATCAGCATGAAGCCTCAAATAGCTTTCTTCCAACCTTGGAAACTCTGCAGTTGTGCCACTGTGAAAATATTCTTGACTAACTAGAGACACAACATAATTTCTTACTTGAATGAAAAAAACAAACATTTTTTTAAAATTCCCCTTCTCCACAACCATTCCCTTTGGTAAGCAAAAAGTGGAAATGGACTAGGAGACAGCAGTATTTTCCCACAGGGCTGCTTTTCTCATGAAAATTGCTCTCCCATAAACTGTAACTTGTCTCATTTGAAGGAATGTGTGTGTACTGTTTTCTGTACAATATAATCAAGGGGATGATCTTTTGTTTTAGAAAACTATGCTGAAGAAATTGTTACACATTCTTCCCACAATATTGGGGAAGTTATCTAAAGGAGGAGTCCCACAGGTAGGATTTGAATGACAAGTTATGGAGTCCTGTCATTTCTTCTGATTAAACCCTCATTAACTATCTCATCCAGAAGCTCAATAAATTATTGGTTTTAGAAAGGGATAAGCAATCTCATCTGGGCTGCAAATATGCAGATACTCACAAGCTGGTAGCAAAGAGTGGGAGTTCTCTGCATCTTTTTGGTGCCATCTAATGCTCATGTGGCTTTTGGTACATTACTAGATCTGTAGCCCTAAATTAGAATTATACAGAAAATGGAAAATAGGTTTGTTTCTACCCCAGAGCCAACTATCATAATCCAAAAGTTCTGCTGAACTATTTTGGATCAGCTCTGGTTCAACAGAAACAAAACCCAGGACACTTAGTTGTTTCAGGTTTTGGCCAAAACAAAATGCAGAAAGATCTCTGAAGAGTCCAGGAGTGATTTTATGAGATGAGCAGAGAAAGGCTAATGTGCATTGTCCCCTCTCTCTCCCCTCAATAGCTCCTAGTGTCTTCCTTCCCTCCATTGTCTCAGTCACCTCCATTGCTTTAATGGCTGGTAAGTTTGTTCCTTACTGTGATGGTCTTAGTAGTAAGGAATAGACCCCCAGCACAGCATATCCCACCAACTAGTCTGTTCACCCCTCTTCTTCCAGCACATTCCCTTCAGTTGCCACCACCAATATCCTTGGCTTTTTCCTACTTTTATCCAACTACTTCTGCCAATAAGAGCTGCATTTGGGTCCATATTCACAACAAAACTATCTGATTTTATTCTGTATGCTGACCAAAATATTTAAAAGACATGTTTTTCAGTTTGGGCACAGATGACTCAAAACTAGCTATATGGAATGGTTCATGCGCAGAATGTTTTGCACTTTCTTACCCTACAAGGATCTCCAGTTCAGGACCTCATGCAGCCCATTTCCATGGGATGATTAGCAGATAGCTTTGCACAGAAAATGAATGCATACAGGAGAAACCCTAATGATTGGAAAGAATATGTGCAGATTGGAACACTAAAGTTTGTAAGAAAGTATTCTTGAGAGTGGTGCTTGTATGAAAAAAAAAATAAAAAAATGTTTAGGAAGGAATGTATTGAAAACCCAAGTTATTTTATACAGTGGAGAGTCCATAGTTTGATTTTCTCCATTATGGAGCATATGAGTCAAGTAAGAACCTGAACTGCAGAGGTCAAAGTCAGAAGAAAAAGAGAATGGAGCTGAATGGGAAGAGAAGTGATAAAAGCCCAGAGATAATTTATCAGTCTAAATAACAGACTTGTTACATAGAGACATGTAATGGAAGTCCTTTGGAGAGGAAAAGAAGTCAAAAGTACCAAGTCCCTCTGCAAACTTTATTTATTTATTTATTTGTTTG